GGGCCACAAGATAAAACACGACTATAATACGTCAATCAATGATCTGTAAACTACAAAAACGTACCAAAATGTTCAGTTAATGTTCACGGATATGGTAGTTCACAGATTTAAATCCAAAGGTGCAGCAAAAGCGCGAAAGAAACGATTTTTGCAGGTGCTCTTCTCAGTGACGTGTACGCCCATACATACATACATACAGACATACAGACAGGGTAACTGCAAAGACTCCCTTTTGTGCTTCACACACGGGAGTCAAAAATCATTTGTGGATAAGATTATTTATCGAGTTTTTCATTCTTACTTTCAAACTTGTACATGAACTAGTTGGCATTGATGTACACTTCTATTCCAAGTATAAGTGTACATGATTTGGAACATTTTTTTCATTGTTTAAATGGCAATGTATGTTTGTGTAGAAAATATACAAGATATTTGCCCTATGTACACATATATATTGTATACCTAATTGTTTACAACTACCATGGTATCAACGTTCACATGTAAATTCATGCCATTCAAGCTAGATGAGGGTGCCCACATTCTAAAATTAAAATTTTGTCATCATGCAGATATGAATATTCAAAGTGAATTGCAATACAGGCTTTATAATTACCAACCAAATGAGTATAATTTATTTGGAGCAAAGCAGAGTAAAAAAAAAGTACTCGGATAATATTGGAGATATGTGACATAATATCTGGGAACTCAATCTCTGAAATGGAGATTTTATATCTGTGGACATTTTTATATACAACAGAAAAAGGAATTCAAGGAGCTGACAAGAATAAATGGTTTCGTCACTTAGAATTCCAACGCATCATGATTTTAGACCTAATGTTTTCTAGCACAACTCCTGTACTTATACTCCTGAGTTGACAAATTTACATGGTGCATGAGAGTGTTTAATGGTCATGAGTGTATCCTTGTATTACATATTGCAGAAGGTGGGAATTCAGATGGTTTCTCTAATAGAAATATCAGAACATTGAGGTTGTTCACTTTCTTGCAGGCTTAACTACATGGCGCCATGAGTATAGAAAAAGAAAGAAAGCTGTTCTCAGCTTTGTTAATATCTGTTTAAGGTCTCTACTCATCAAGAAGAGGAGAAGTCCGGCTCCTAAGCTTCTTATGTAATTGGCATTGAATAAAGGATTAATATTACACAAATGTACATATTTAGAACTAATACTGTAACAGCCTTTCAGTCGTAGGCTTTGTGTTCAGCAATGGCAATTATTTTTTGATCACAGAAGAGTGGAGTATGTAATTCACAATGGTTTTCAGTTGAATTCACCTTCGATCATGCAGACTTAATTTTTTGTGAAACTGACGAAAGCAAAGAAAGGGAATATTTACATAGTAATTCATTAGTCAGCACAGCTGAACTAGGTTTTATTAATTTTACAGTGCCTGTGAAATGCCTACCTACACATTCATCAATGTTTTTGGTTTCTGTTGCCCTGAAATTTGTAAACATACTAAAAATTAAATCATCTTAAATTTGAAGAAAAAATTCTGAGATGTAGCCATACCCCTTTCCTGTTGCAGTCAACTGTTTCAGGTTTTCTGACTTCTCTCAAAGTGAAACAGGGATGCCAAAGGTCAGACAAGGGGGAAGCCATGCAAGTGCCATGCACTGGATACCATAAAAACTTGTAAAACCATTCTATAAGTGTGTGAATTACTAGTATGCTTAATGAAAATCGTGATGTCTTCTAGGAATTAATAGAATATTTCATATTTTTTATGTTATGTTATTGTATTTCTCGGGAGCAAAATATTACCACAGTCAGTATCCCAATAAGTAATCACTAACATAAAAAACTGACTACAACAAAAGTCTAGTTACATCTCAGTATGAATCACCCTAAATTTTGGTTAACCGCCTTGTCTTTCATTATTAGACGATATCAACGAAAGTAGCCCAAGCAAATGCCGCAAATTTATTACAAAAATTTGACAAAATTATCCACCAAAATATGAAAAAAAAACATGAAGCGAAGTAATTCATATGCATTAAATTCATTAAGAAAAGCTTACAGACAAGGTAGATATATGCAATATTATTATTATGCAATAACATTTTTAAAAAGAGTTAAAAATAAAACTGGATAAATATTTGAATAAATAATTAATTTAGTGATAATAAAAATCCATAGCTTTCATCAAACAGTACTGTACTGTTCAGTAACTAATTGCACATACAAGTTTATAATGATATATCAATTTCTAATTTTACAGTGCACTCAATTAGTTCATGTAGTGGTTGAGAAGAGATCCTCGAGAAGAGCTTTGTGGACAATGCATGTGTGACAATGATGAAGTTAACCTTATTATCCATGTTCCAGAATGGATATATCGAACAGGAAATGAACATTCACTGAGGCTTCAAGGACCAGATGTGAAAAATGTCAAGGAAAGCATTATTAAAAGAGGATCACTACAGAAGGTAGATAGTCATCAATGCAGTTCATTCATTATGGAGCTTGTTACGACAAATGCACTAGTGAACATGTCCATGGACTCCAATACAAGTAGTAATTCAACAGACAGTAGTGGAAATGACTCAATTCCCATTCCCACATTAGTGTTAATAGCAATCCTTGCGTGTATCATCATGCTGACTATGATCGGCAATGGACTTGTGTGTGTCAGTGTCGCTAGATTTCAACATCTTCAGTTCATTACTAATTATTTTATCGTTAGCTTGGCGGTAGCAGACTTCTTAGTTGGTGCAATTGTTTTACCATTTTCAATATCTGTTATAGTTCGAGCAAACTGGACATATGGAGTATGGTGGTGTAATGTATGGATTTCGCTAGATGTCACGTTGTGTACATCGTCAGTATGGCACTTGTTTATTATTGCGTTAGAACGGGCATTAGCTATTATGAAGCCGCTATGGTACCAAAGTAAAATGACAATTAGAACAGCCGTGATTTTGATCACCGCTGTATGGGTGATTTCAGCTGTCATATCTATACTGCCCATAATGATGGGATGGAATACAAAGAGTGGAAATATACAGAACATGGACCAACCGAACCAATGTCGTTTTCACACAACACCCTTCTATTCGTTTGTGGTGGGGATCATTGCATTCTGGATCCCCATGATTGGGATGTTGGTACTACACACATCGGTGACCAGAATCGCACGAAAACAAGCGATGCAAATAAAGAAACTACACAACACCTTGCAAAACCCGACTGAGAAAAAATCACCATTCAGTAAAAGTGAACGCAAAGCAGCTATGGCACTTGCTATTATCATGTGTTGTTTTCTTGTATGCTGGGGACCATATATTATATACTGGACATTGGCGGGTGTTAGTCAATGGCACATTTCAAGTACAGCACTGGACGTTATCACCTGGTTGGGGTATATTAATAGTACACTTAATCCATTCATATATGCCTTTTTCAATACAGAATTCCGTAGAGCATTTAAAATTATGATAATTCCAGGTAGAACCAGGCGTAACAGTATCAGAAATAAACACAGAGCTGCATACCAACTTTAAAACAATATAATAGTGTGTGTTTAAACTTCTAAAAAATATTAACTTTCAATCAGTTTTGTATCAGGGAAGCTCAGATTACTAGGACAATATTGGATTCCTGGGTTCTCTGGTTGCTTAGCTAACATGAGGGTTTAGAGGCTGTTGATTAACTTTGTTCACTTCCGGTCCACAGGGAATGAAGTCTTAGGATCGTAATTTAACAGGCATTTTGATTCTGTATTGTAGGCATCCACGTTCGTAAAATATAAAAAAAATATGATTTTTTTCATACATGCACAATCAAGTTTAACAAAATATAATTTATAATACCTTGGTATAATTGCATAATTTTGAATATTTATGTAAGTTATACATTTTGTACCACTATCAAGTAATTCTAAACTAGGATTAGACATTCAACTAAATAAACAATATGCGGGTACCAAGTTTTACATCATTTGAGCAAACTATTGCTATGATACAGAATAAACAATCTAAAAACAGTTGAGCTAAATAGCCAATTAATATGCACAGATTTATTTCAAAATATTTATTAGATAGTAATCTACATGAACAAAATTCATGTTTCAATCCACTTGAAAAAATTCATTTGAATGTAAATTAGCTAATTAAACGGAACAGATTAATTAGAAACTATTATTAGACAATCAACTGCACATATGTTCTGTAAATTTTAACCCATTGGAGTAAACGATCGTTAATATACACACATTGATAATCAGCTTTTATTAGATTATGTAGCAAGTTTCAATGTATTTGTACAAACAGTAACATAACAAAATGAACAAATCTGATTGAGGTCCACCCAAGGTGTTTACATTAAATTGTCTTGCCATTTTTAAGAAAAAAGCTAAAATATCACTTTTTTAACGAGATTTACAAAAATACTCACTAAAATTAGAGAATTGAAGGTAACATCACAAAATAAACAAATCAAACATGTGAAATATTAAAGCAATTTGGCTTGCTATTTTCTCAAAAAAAGCGATAATATCAGTTTTTACTAAAACTGATAAAATTTTTCACTAAAATTGAATGTATCATAACAAAATGAGCAAGGGTATCTAAGGTACATTTGAAACAATGATTATGAAACCCATACAGCTGTCGGACGATTATTAAAAAGAAGTCGAAAATGTGAAGTTGTTGGCAATAGACAATAAGTAATATATAGATTCGCTGGAAAGCGGAGCTTAAAAAAATATGAACTAAACAGGCTCAGGCAAATAGTCACTTAATATAATAGCTAGGGAACTCGTTTATTAATCAAGAATGTAAATTAATTATTATGTATGATAATAGATAACATAATGATAATATTTATTGTAATTGTATCTTCATTGGGAATTGGACATTGTAGTACAATGAAGTAAAAATAAATACTAAATTTACTAATGAATTCTTATTACAAAAGAATTTATTAAGAAATAGGAAGCCTTATTTTTCTAACAGCAAGATTTTTAAAAGTAAGGCTGAGATAGTGTGACATCTCCATATAAACAATCAATAGCACAATAGTGACCAAATATTTGTGTTACAGCTGTTACAAACTCCACATAATGAACTGGAATACCCCCTAGGAATACCTTGCTAAGGAATACTCATGGATATACTTTATAATTAATTGAACTCATTCCCACAGTTATAGAGTTGAATCAAACATATACTCAAGAGTCCATATACTAATACTTAAATTCACGGTAACAAAAATAAGTAGTCATGAATTGGATCAATCCTTGATTTCTATTAAAGTACATTTTCTATTAAAATGATGCCATATGTTGTTGACTTGTGTAAGTGGCAGCTACCATTTTGTTTTTATTGATATATATATATAGTGTAGATACGAAAGTTGGTTATTCCAAAACAAAAGTGCTCAATACAAAGTATATGTAGAGTGGGTGAATACGGTGATAGAGGAATTAATACACAACTACATGAATATTGATCAATCCTTGATTTCTAAGTACATTTATATACATATAAATATATATCTTTTCTAAGTTTGAGATGGTTTTATGTATCTGTATATTTCTACTGCATATAGTGATGCTCTTCGTTTCACATCTAATAATTATGATAGCTAAGATTTATTTTACATTTTATGATATTATATATTATATATTCTCTGTTTAATGTTAGCAAGAAATGTGCTTTATCTTCAAGTTCTTTATCATCATTTCCAGTGATGCTAAATGTGCATTGGGGAGGGGGGGGGGGGGGTTATTGACAATAAAACGTTGCATAGTTGTGTACTGATAAGCAATTCATATTATTTTAAATCGAATATAAACATCGATAGGATTAGACTCATAAGTTATCACATATTTTACTTGTTCATGTTGTACATGTATGAATTGAGGAACAAGAAGAATTGGTCGAGGTCCTCGATTTAAGGGACATCTATTTTTGTCAGAACATCACTTGCACTACAATTCGCTTTAGAATTGTATGCAAGTGATATTCTGACAAAAAATAAACGTTCCATTGATAATAATTCAAATTTCAATTTATTTTGCTAACAGAAGATGTAAACACATAAACATGGTGAATATATTTGGTGGATATTCTTTTTCAAATTATTGATTTAAGATGTTTTTGTTTAGGCTTTTAAGGGACTTCTACCACACTATACATGTATGACGTGGAACCAAGCTTCTACTACTTTGATCATGTATAATTTACTTCAAATTTACCTTTTCAGCGCTGTTGTCAAGTCATTTATTATTAGTTTTTCACAACATAGTTCTATTTAAAGGTGTTGTACTGCTTTTGTTTTGGGCTGAATAATTTTTTTATTGCAGCAATCTATATGTATGTTGCCATTAAAAATATATGAAGTGTTTGTAAAATGAAAAATAATGTATATCCATACATACTGATACAACAGAACCAAATGAATTTGTGATATAATGGTAACCAAAGGCTTTTTCATGAAAATGTGAAAAACCGAGGCAGTCAGTAGGTCTCATGAACAATTGGGTACAAAATATACACCTCCCTTTGTGTCACAAGGTGTACACTCAGTATTAACGCAGCAAGCAGGGAAAACAATTCTTGTATAACAGAAAGAATGTGAAAGAAAAATATATTGCAAAATCTGTGTATAACTCATTCATTCATTTATTTATTCATTCATTCATTCAATGAATGTAATTGTCAGAATTGATAGACATTGCCAGCTGGCGACAGAATTAGCACATAATTCAATCTGTTGTTTTAATGGTGGATCTAGTACACCGTAAAGAATGCAATGCATAATTTATGCTGTTATTATAATCACTTTAAGGAAGTATACTCAGCACAACTTATCCAATAATGCCAGTATTGTGGCTTGATTTTAGTGACTTGTTACTGCTGTGATGTTAAGAACTAGACTTCTCAAGCTTTTAAAAATATGGAGCTAAGCTATTTTTTGGCTGTATTTATGAAATAAAGTTTTGTTTCAAGCTTTTACATGGTTGTCTACAGGAGAGTTTTATAATTGTAGTGCAGGATCTATAGAGACAGAGTTGTTTATGTAGCAACTGAGTATATTGATGAAGTCAGTACAACATACTGGTAGATGAAAACATTGTAACTGACTGGTTCTGATTTAATACGCTACTGAATGCAATTACAGATTCTCAACAACCAATTAAAGATTTTGTTATCAGCTGTTTATTGTACTTTTTTTTTACTCATTAAATGCAATCATTAAAAATAAATTACAGGATGTTTCTGGAAGCTGACAGTTGTCAAATTTGTCTGTCTCCTATAATGTTGATTGATAGTATAAATCAAACAGTCTTTATCAGTTTTACATGCATACATGTTGTGGGTTAACAACTAGATTACAAGATCATTACAAAATCATTGTGGTAGCCAAGCCAAGCCGAGCAATGCACATCCGTGAGACAAAATGCAGTGTAACCCACAAAAAATTAGTTTGGTTCTGGCTGGTGAGAACATGTCAACTAAACTTCATCAAATGAAATATTGTATATTGTGGACAATTATTTCTACTTTCTGTATCCTAATGGTATTGACCCATATTTTTTTGAATTGATAAAGTATTTTTTAATTCGACTTGAACCTCTTTTATGATAACTAAATCAAATGGAATGAATAAAATAAAAAAAATGAAAGAAGAAGAAATTTTTTTATTAAATTTAAAAGTACCTTGATTTGAAATACAAACCTGCATTGAAATCAAAACCACATAGCTACACATTTAGAACATCATGATGTTTTCAGATCAAATTTTACACATTTTTAAATATTATTATTTCTTGAGAAACTTTCCGGACAATTATTTCTACTTTCTGTATCCTAATGGTATTGACCCATATTTTTTTGAATTGATAAAGTATTTTTTAATTCGACTTGAACCTCTTTTATGATAACTAAAATGAAAGATGCACACAATATACAATAACCTAACATAGTTGTGGCAAATTTATTATTTTATGTTACACAATATTTCCATGACTGGTTTGTTCTGCCACGCCCTCTATAGTCACCACCCATTAATTATGGTAATGAGTAATGACTGAATTGTGAGCTGCAAACCAATAGCAGCTTTTGATCTGTTCTATACAGCTGTGATACACGCATGATGATGACACTTTGAATTCTTTGCACAAGTGCATGTCTACTTTCATCTTAGCTGTTTCACTACACTACCTTTAATATTCATTAAATGCAATGAATATGCCTCAGAATAGACAGAACATGGTAATTTTGTGATTGAAAAAAATAGTTATCATAAACAATCAAAGAAAGCTTAGAAAGAACTCCTGTGTGGTGAGAGTATTGAAGACACATTAAAAATTAATTCAAAATTACTTGTACTTGAGATATTAATGGAATAGCTGAAAACTAATTATGTAAATCAGATAACTGATATGAACAGACTTGAGTGTAAAACTAATAAGGCCTGCGTAATGTAATATCTATGTACCAAGTTTAATTGAAATGTGATTAGAACAAAAAAACTATGAATTATTATTAGAGAATTA